ATCACTGATTCTTGTACCTGAAACAAAATAGAAGCGTTAGTCGTTCAAGATTTTGATAGGAGTAGGAGTTTTACCGAAGTTTTATGTGTAGCGGCGGCGGTGTTTGAGATAGTGATGGCGGCGTCTCGCGGTGGCTGGAGGAGTGGAGTTTCGGCGCCAGAGATAAGTTCTCTTTTTTTTTACTCAAAGCTTCTGGTTACGAACTTAGGGTTTTGCTGTGATAGCTCTCGGTGGTAGTATCTTCCGCCTAATTTTGAACTCTCTCCCCTTTTTCGTTTTCATTCTTCCCTTTATATAGGCCTCAAATGGGATTAAAGTCTGATTGGAAACTTTTGAATGCTGATTTTGATATTCCAATTTGGGTTGAGTCAGATTTCGAAAACATTCCTTTTTTGTTGATAATATTTGAAAACTTTCCTTCTTCGTGTGATTGCAATAATAATCTGTTAATGAAGAATTCCAACTTGTGATATCCTGAATTAATCGTGTTAAATGTCATAGTTTGTCCAGATTCAATGTCTGGGATTTGGATTGGATATTCCTTTCTTCTTGGGAACATTCTCTAATCGGTTTGCTAATTTCGGGTCTTGCGATTTGTAGGTGCAGGTAGCAAATATTTGTTGGGCCAACTGACGAATTAGAAGCTCAAGAGGGAAGCTCAGGTTTGACGTGTCTAGTGGGAACTTTCACGAAGGACACGTGATGAAGAGCGGCAATCTTAAGTGCTTGTAGGGTATATTCCTTTCCTTTCAATCCAATCTCTATTCCTTTGACTTTCTTCAAACTGAACAATTTCCTTTTCATGTGATTCCATGGAGCCTGGATTGGTAAATGGCGAATAATTTTGGTGCTTGTGGAGATTAGAATGAAGTTATGGAAACTCTGAGCTATGATGGTGAAGATCAAGTTCAAACTTGTTTTAGAATGACCACTTCTAATTCCTTTTATGCACATGAGAATGTCCTGTTGGTTTTCTCTTTGACTGATGTTTGGTTTTCTTCTTCTGCTTATCTCATTGTTTGGGAAATTGAGAAGATTAACAACTGCGATGATACCTCCTCTCGTAACGTTGTTTTGGCGATGACAGCTATGGACGAAATCAGATTATGTCGGCAGCTGGTATGTTGTGGTGATACTTGCTAGTATGAAAATATATCCTGCGGTCATAACGTTTTAATCCTTTGTTCAAACTCCTGCAGGCTAAAAGACACCGCTTAGAGGACGTGAAGAGACCGTGATGACGGCAGCATGCTGGAAAGATGATTTACTGTTGATAAAATAAACAATTGTTGCTGTGGAACTTGATGTTGTGACTGCTGTGCTGACTTTGATTGTTTTGCAGGAACCTGAAGGCATTGCGAACAGGGCTGAGTTTTTTTTTTAGCTTCGATATTGTATTGGGGATTCCATGAACTGATGGTTGTTCGTGATGTTTTCTGCTGATTTTTCACTACTGCCTTTGATATGGACGATCTGTTTGATGTATGTATGTGATGATCTAATGAATTTTTGCGTCAATCTCCCTCTGTGCGAATATGTTTTTGATCCCTTCAATTTTATGTGAACACTTCAATTTTGAACCCGTGTATTCTTCACTACTTGTTTCTCTCTTACAATTAAGTGAAGTGATGCTGCTATGTAGTTATGCTGTGAATTCCCCTCTGAACCCTGCGAATATTCTGTCCATGTACAGAGTGATTCACGTGCTCCCTCTCAAACCGTGTGTGTATTGTTGTTGTGAAATTGGGTTCTGTATGTGTGGTTGTTGTATTTTTATGTTGAGGTTCTATTCTTCAGTTCAAACATGAGCGTTGTATGTTGCCCCCAGTGTGTTTGATGCTCAAGTCCCTCGTTGTGAATGCAGGTGCGTAGATATGTTCGCAGGTGATGTAGAAGTACTCGCAGCTGACTTTCTGCTGATATGCTGGCTGCTGACGCTTAACACGTTGTTGATGGTGACTGGAGAATTACCTCCTTGCGAATGCCTTATTGGTGTTGCTGCTGTCAAATGCGTGCAAGCTGGCTCCGGAAGTAAATAATAGGTAAGTCGATAACGACATACTTGCTTGCGTTTGTATATCTTTTCCAAATTTAGGAGCTTCAGCAGAATACGTTCGATTAAGAATATGTTGGGTATACTGCAGGGAGATAACGTGGCGGAACGGAGTGACGTGGGGAAAAGCCTTGAATGTTCCCGTCTTGGTTCTTCTTGACAAAGGGCGCTAGTAAAGCTATTTTTGGATGAGGAGAAAGTGGACAGTTGGGTTTTACGTGTGACGCGGGTCATGAGTGTTTCGCATTTTCCATTCTATTATTGAGGTTGCTTTCTCGCGGCGCGACGCTGCTTCACCCTTGTTGCGGCTTGTTGAATTTGCTTTGGCTTCACACAGGTTGGCTAAGAAACAGCGTATTCTGAGGCTTTGGATCACCAGAACTTGTAATATGGCCTGAAGCTCAATTGCACCTTTATTTTACTATGTAAATTCATGTAATAGTGAGTTCTGTGAGTAGTATAAAAAAAGGTCAACGTCTATTAATCCTGGCTTGGTTCCGTATTCATGAGCTGTGACTTGTAATTATTTTTCTTGTTCTGAAAGCTATTAACAAGTGGTAACAATTAATATTGGAATGCCTTTTCTCCTCTTTTTCATATGTCGATATCCTCACTCCAAACTTGTATCCTTGAGCAGATGGCAAAACGCCTTGCGGTCACTTTAACTCTTAAATATAAGGCTAACAGAACTCTTTTCATGATAACCGAAGAAAGGTGCATTTGATGCGTTAATAATACTTGACAAATCTTGACATCGAATTGGGTCATGCCTTCTTGAGATATCTTGAAAACTGTCTGTAAGCACCCCACTCAAACTTGTTTTGGATTTTGAATGTCATAGTCTTCAACGGGATTTTTCTTGTTCTTGGCAATTTTGTCATAATAATAGCTACGCCCATAAACGCAAAACAACGTTGATTACATGGTTAGCTAAAATAGGAATGATGGGTTCAGAAAAAAATGCACGAGGAGGCGGGATCATAAGGTCAAAAATTAGGGTGCAACAGACGCCTAATAAAACTCGGTCGGTTAGTTGGCCTACCTAACAGATGATAAGATTCTCGATCGATTTGATCAAATTTTGAAAAGTCTTTCTCATTATTCAGAACAGTGGAGCTTTCGATCAAGACATTCTCGCCTCCCCCATTTGGGCTCTTGCTCGAATCGGAACCTTTATGTGTTGGTAGGCTTTTGACTTAATCGAATAGTCGGATGCCAATAAAAGAAAAAGTTTTCACACGGGATCATCATCTGATGCAGAACTTATTTCATAACCACCATCCATCACCAATTACATTCCACATCCCACTTCAAGCTTATCGATTCCTCGGGTAGCCTCCTCTAGAAAGGCATTCCAGCTTCAGAGGTAGGTGAGCCGGGTCAGGAAGGACTTTGAGTGTTGGGATGTGGTCAGATCCTACTCGAAGCACTCCACCATGAATAAGAGTCTTCGAGTTGGATAGGCAGTAGAGATAAGAACTCCTATATGTATGGCAACTTTCAAGACAGAGATGCACTACTCCATCTGGCTTGAAAACCTCGTGGGGAAAGATAAGAATCCCTTTTTTAAAGTCAAGGACTGAAGGGAATAAAAAATAAATAGAAAAAATCCCTTACCGACCGACGGGACTCTATGTCTGGGTCTTATTCCATCTTAAACTCGGATTGGGAAGAGTGCCCTTGAACTACAGATCAATCATAATATAATAAATAATTAAAAAAAGAAATGGATTATTCTGACTCTAACAAGTAAGAAAGTAAACTACCTTTAGGCGTGAAAAAGAAAAAAAAAGGCAAGGGGAGATATGGAAGAGGAGATTCAGGATAGTCACTCCGCTCCATAAATAGTGAACACAAATTCTTATTTCATTTTCCATTCCTTTTGGGTCGAAAATGCGGGCTGCTGGTGGGGTTGTGCCCATTCTTTCTCCCTCTTCTTCCGCTTGACAACCAAAATAAGAAATCTAATAATTAACCCTACCTGTCGATGAAAAAAAATAGGATTTGAGAGGAGTGAAGCTGCTTGACCTAATAGAGCAAGGAGTGAGAGCTAGTGGGTCAGAAAGATTTCTATAGAATGTTCTACTTTACTCCTGCCCGAGCTTTAGGACCAATCAATCTCCTCTTATTTTAGTTTAGGGACATCCCTTTGTTAGGTAGGGCTAGGGATCACTAATTAGTCGAACGATCCCATCCCTCAGGCCTATCATTTATTGGTCGATCTGGCTTGGTTGGTGGCTCCTGCATCTCCATGGGGCCCCTACAAGTTGCTAGGAGTCCCTCTAGTCGAATCAATAATCAATAAAAGTTGATTGACTTGGCTCTTCAGTCGACGATCTACTGTTCCCTCTTAGTTGTAGATGCTCATGCTTTGATTCGAAAGCCCTAGCCAGTGATGAATCCCCAGTAAGATCAGAGTCTTTCATTCCTCCTCCCTTCAGTCTAGTTTGAACCCGTCCCAACAATGAAAACCTTCCTACTTACTGCAAGGTGAGGCTCTGCCCTTCCCCTAGAATCCAACTTCTTGAGCAGCCGAGATATTAAACAACGAACGAGCAAGCAAGCTACCTTGCCTCACCCTGAGATAAGAGGGAAGGTCGATTTTACTCAAATCCTGGACCTGATCTTTAATCCTACACCGGTTAATGATGCGATGGGATAAGTTTTTTTTCATCAATTTTGGCCCAGTCGAGGCTCGTTCATGCCCAATCCTAATGGAAAAACCTCTTATCTGCCCCTAGCTCTATAATACACCCGTCTTCCCCAGTCCTTGAAATCCCTCATATTCTTTGCCTAGCCCTCTTTCTCAACTCGAGTCTGAAGTTCAGCAGCTTTCATCATTGACGAAGACCTGCGCTAATAAGACAAAGAAGTAGGGAGTCTATGCCTTTTCATAAAACGAAAAAATTTCAGTCCTTGAATGAACCAGTAACAATGAATTCATGGAATGAGGGATCAAGAAACAGATAGGGAGGGGAATGGCCTTTCCATTATTGGTGGACCTTCCCTTAAATTGAACCGGTTACGAAGCTCTCCATTGAGTTGTTTAGGTTTTGGAATTCCATCTCTGGTTGGGGGTTTCAGTTTGAAGGTTATCAAATGTGGTGCGGGTTCATCTCTCTCAACCAATTCAGGTTCAAGGGAAGGGTGATCGAGGGAACCCAGACTTTAGATCTCTTTCTATGGCGGGAGGTTTCTTTCGTATCAAGAGTGTGTTGGGAAGGCCAGGGAAAGATGGATTGGATCGAGAGGCGATGCCAACTCTACTCGTTATCACTAAATGACGAAGCCAAGAGCGGAAGGAGGGACTTGGACCCTCAACCTCAACCTTGGCAAGGCTATGTTATACCATTAAGTTATTTCTGTCAGCTACGGTAATGGCGAAGCACTACTGAGCAATTAACATATCACTTGATATGGACGAATTGTGTTTTTCCTCCAGACTACACTCTTAACCTCCGATCGAGATGCGAGCACGAATAGGTAGGCGACTAGGGGGGAGGGGCAGTTGCCTTTTCAATAAATCTTCGGCTGCTATTGGTGCGAGTTGTAAGGAAAGAGTCTTGGTCTCGAGTCGAGCTGGGGCGCCATTTCATTCTCGTAATAGGAGTGAGTGCACCGCAAGATCAGACAAGTGACTCCCTCGCAGCGGTGGCATCTGTCTTTTAAGTTCAGTCATTTCCTAAGACGGCTCCTCTTATTATACGATAATCCAAGCAGATCCGAGAGCTTAAACATGAGTGTTTGTCTCTTTTTCAACTTCAACAGGAATGCATCAACAAAACAACCATTCCATATAGATCATCGTGGCATGAACTTTGTCAAAAAAAATTAATGTATAGCTAACTCCTTAGACCGTCTCCTGAAAGACCTGCTTATCCCGCATGTGCTTTCGGAGCCCCCCACTCATTCAATCACTTGCTTGTGATTGCTTGCAGTCATTACCCAAAAAAGGGAGAGACGACGGAATCGTCCACTCCCGTTCATGTGATGAATCAAACATCATTAGGTCCCGAATTCTGCGAACCACCGGACCTAGACCAAGATCTCCATTACGTCGTACGATGTATCGATCCGAAGAACTTACTTTCAAATGTAAGTCATCTATTCTGCTCCTATCTAAAGTGATGTTAGGCTGCTTCACGCAGGTGCGCTTCGCTCGGCCACATGATGGACATGTTTTAAGCTAATTGCACGTCGGGCGCTTAAGAGGAGCTTGTGGTCACTCGTTCCTCGCTTGTGGTAACCGCGAACCCAGGCGTTCTGATCGGGGCAGCCACCCACCGCGCGAGATTCAGGGTGCGTTTCTCGGATTCAAAACGCGGGTGATATTGCTAGGTTTGCGGGTCGCTACCCCCGTGGAGCGGTTGACTAGTTTTTCTTCCTTCGTGTTTTGTTCTCATCACTTCTTCCCTTTTTTCGTTTTTCATCTTCCTCTGGCCACGGAAACCCTTTGACGTTCCTCTCCGTTCTTCAAGTGAGTTTTATTTTATTTCTTCTGGTTTATGTGCGAAATAAGAAAATACAGATGAGAAAGAGGATGAAGTCGTGAGGAAAAATGAAATTGTAGGTAGGGAAGAAGATGAAGGTGTGGGGTGGGGAAGAATAAGATGCGACCGCAAATTTTTTTGAGTTTTTAAAAAGAAACCCTATTTTTCAAAGTTGATCAGATCTAGATTCGGGTTGCATTTAAAATTTTATTTTAAATATTATTAATTCAGAGTTTGAAGAGATAAGTACATACCTTTTTCTCTTTTCAAGAAAAGACTATTGCAATTCCCATCATTATCTATCATTAATTATTATTATTATTATTATTATTATTATTATTATTATTATTATTATTATTATTGAAAATAATTGAATGTGATGTCCAAAATAATAGAAAATAACCCCAATTTCATCTCTAAATCACAAAACTGCAGAACTACAACATTATGAACACAGCCCGACATAAACGAAATCTTTTTCTATAGCTCTATGTTTTAAAATTAATATACTTAAAGGTAAAACTTAAAATCGATAAACTACAATAGAGGGCTCAAAACATGTACTTATAGAATATCATTTGGATGACAAAATTGAGTTTAAATAGGAGTAAAACACAACAACACAATAGTAGGCCAAAGTAAACAGAGAAAAATAAAGTAAAATGAGTATTGATGCAATAATATATGTATAGTAACTGTGTTAGTTATCAAAGTAAATAAGTAATGCATGTTAGAAGCTTGATTATAATATATAATAATAGTTATTATTTAATCTAAAAGGAAGCTAAATGATGTTTGTCAGACACCAAAGTATGAAATAAAATGAGTCAAAAGAAAACCCATCAATGTCTAGTTCATTTTCATACAGTAAATATTTAGTATTTTAGATTAAAAAAACTCAAATATCAAGTGAATCACATCTTCCAAAGAAAATTGAAGAGATTAGAAAGGTTATTAGAAGAAATCAATCAATACTTAGGGTTTTGAATGGGGAAAATATGTTTAATAATTTTGACAAGAGAAACGGTAGAAACATTCACCAAAGTGAAGATAACGATAATTAAAATGACTTGGGACGATAGTAATTAACGACGATAACTCAAGCCGCTAGTGAAAAACACCGTTGTTAAACGAAAATCAAATTGATACCAACATTTGGACAATGACTAAGAAAGAATAAGAAGGAATATCTCACGCATCGAACTTGTCTTGATTGAAATTATAACATAGGTTGTGTTGTGTCGATGGGGATTATTGGAAAAATCTTAAGTCCCACATTGGTTAAAGATACAATCTATAAATAGTTTATATAGAGTGACACCCCTCATCTTACCAATTGGTTTTGTAGGATTGTGTTAGGTCAAACTCTAATTCTATCGTGGTATTACATGCCTATCGATTTGGATCACCCATCATTTATATATTTTGTTTTATATATTTTGTTTTAAGTCACATTTGTTTTTAAATATTATTAAGAAGTCTAACAAGTTTTTAACCTAGTAAAATGTAAATAGAAAAATAAATACGTAATGTCTAACAAGTTTTTAACCTAGTAAAATGTAAATAGAAAAATAAATATCAATACTAATGTAAAATAAACAAAAGAAATAATAAGTTATTTATTTTTTTTATTTTAAGTTTATTTAATTTTTTTTTTTTTACGTTATTGAAAAACCAAACAAGTTTATATTTTAGTGGAAATATAAAAAATACTAATAATAAAAAGATTTTTTTTATTTTAATTTTTCCAATATTTTGTATTGAGACACATTTTTTAAACGTTATTGAGAAGCCCAACGAACACAAGTGTCTTTATAATTTTTAATTTTGTATAAAATTCTAGCATAAATTTCTTCAAATTGTTATTGAGAAGCTAAGAACACAAACACACTCCAAATTTTAAGATAGCGCTTATCTAAAAGTGCTATTAAAGGGATATACATATAATAGTATTTATTCATCAAGCGCTATTAAATTACTGTCATTTTTTTGTCAACATGCTATAATAATGCTTTTAGCAAAAGTGTTATTATAAAGATCACCTTATATTAGCGCTCAATAAAAAGCGCTATTAAAAGTTTTAGTGTCAAAGTTTTAATGGTGTTTTATATAAAAGTGTTATTAAATTAGTGCTATTATATGTAAAATTTATAGTAATAAAGTGCTTTCTTACGCGTATATATATCGTGAGTCTCCTTGAATTCTCCGTCTGAACCGTCTGTTTAGTCTACCTTGACTTTTATGCATAATCAATGGACACAATTATAAGCAACAACATCCCTCTGATCATGATCGAGCGTCATAGAGAGAGTCAAATTTTGACTCTCTTCCTCATAGTTGGGCTCCAAGCGCCTTGGGCTTTTCTCTTTTTGTTAACCGCACCCCCCATTATCTGGCTCATTGCTAATCTAACATAAAATACACCCATGCTGAATAATTTCAAACTTTATTATTCTTATGAAACTTTGATTCTAATATTAGAAAATTAAATAAGTACACGAATTTAAAGTAATGATTTGAGTTAGGACATAATTTAAGTAAAAGGAAATATAACAAGAAATTGATGAAAATGATAGAAATGGGGCACCACACTCTTTCTATAATTTAGAAATGATGATAACCACAACTGTCCAAAAACCTCAGAAACTCCCGAAATCACCTGATTCAATTCCAACAAGTTCCAGTAGTCTTAGCCTAACATTTCTCGACTAAACTACACCATTAATTCTAGATTCTAACCGTTCAAACATCGGTTTCTATGGATTAAACTCATTTCGACCTAAAATGGAAAAAGATGGAAAACATCCAAACAATCCAACACACATATACATAATCATACACATTGATTAAGATAATAAGATTTCACACCCTTACCTGATTAATCGAATACTAGAGATTGCTCTTGATGATTCTCCAAGTTTCCCTCTCTTTCTCTTCTTCCTTCTTCTCCCTCTATCTTTCTCTTCTTTTCTATTTCTATCTCTTTTCTTCTCCACTTTCTCTCTATTATATTTTCTTCTCTGAAAATATATACCAATTCATTTCCTCACAAAATATCTCATCTTATCATTAATTAAGAAATATCTAAAATACTCTCTAGTTTAATTTCCCAAAACTCCAAATGATAAAATAGCATAATATGCAAACATAACATATTAACACATTAATTCCACAAATAAAATAATAATCATCCAATAATTCAAATAATTAAAATAATCTCAATAAATCAATTAATTAATAGAAATAACTAATTATTAAAAATTGGGTTGTTACATTCGTCATCCAGGTTGCTTGACATGAACAAAGAGAAGCAGCTATATATTCTGCTTTGTATGATGACAATGCCACTACTGGCTCCTTTCTCGAACTCCAAGCAACTAGTGCACCACCTAACATAAACACATAGTCACCTGTGGATTTTCTATCCTCGGCATCACTACACTAACTAAAGTTGGTGTATCCCACTAAATTGCATTGTTTTCCTTCATCAGCTGCAGGAAACAAAATGCCATAGTCGAGAGTCCTTTTCAAATACCTCAATATCCTCTTCGTCACTACTAGGTGTGATATCTTTGACTTCTACATGAATCTACTTACCATATCTACACTGTATGCTAAGTCAGACCCTGTGTGACAAAGGTATCGAAGTGACCCAATAAAT